TGCTGCGGAAACTACAGGTGGTGCAGAATGCGGCGGCCAGACTACTTAGTGGAATGAAAAAATACCAACACATCTCACCCACTCTGGCCACACTGCATTGGCTGCCCACCCGATTCCGCATCGACTTCAAAGTGTTGATGCTCACATACAAAGCCCTAAACAGTTTAGGGCCTCGTTACTTGGCGGAACGCCTACTCCCACCAAGGTCTACCTGTGTCACTCGTGCGAGCCAGGAGATGAGGCTGAGGAGCCTAACGCTGAAGGAGGCCCGGGAGGAAAAGACAAGAAATCGGGCCTTCTCGGCGGTGGCTCCTCGCCTCTGGAACAACCTACCTCCTGAGATTTGCGGGGCTCCCTCGCTGGGTATCTTTAAGAATCAAATAAAGGCATGGATGTTTCGGCAGGCCTTCCCATTAAACAATTCCTGACGCTTTTTCTTTCCTCTCCTATTGTTTCTCTCACTCACTTTATTATTTAAATTGTTTATATATTTTTATATATTTTTATTGTACTTTTTATGGTTGTTAGCCGCCTAGAGTGGTCCTGACCCGACCAGATAGGCGGGATATTACATAAATAAATAAATAAATAAATAAATAAATAAATAATATAGGTGTTTATTAAAACAGTGATTATATATTTGTATCTTCCTGTGTTCTTGTTTGTACTTTGCTTTGTGAAGTCATAGCCCTAAAAGTTGCTAAAATACTTCATATGAATAAATCGGAAAAACTGTTTATTCAATAAAAAACTGAGATGTCTACAACATCTGCATTGAAGATTCACAGTAAAAACAAGATGCTTTTACAGACTGCCCTACACATACAATATTCCACTATTTTTAAAAATATATATTTATATAAATAATTAACTGTTGTTGCTTCACTTTTCAGCTATTTAACAGTTTGTTCATTAGCAACTGTTCTCAAACCTACAGATACTGTAGTATCCTTGAGGAAATTAATCTTAAAAATTATTGGCCCAAATCCAAGCAGTTTTCACAATTTTCTGGCCACCTATCATGTGCCCAGGCATATCTGCAAGTATCTAATCCAAGGATGTCCACATACACAGGCAGAATAATTGCATATACCAGTTATACGATTTCTGGTTTATGCCATACAATTACAATACGATTCTGGCAACTTTGTAAACATTTTAATGACATCTGAAGACAAGCACTACAGTTAATGCCCTCCATGGCAAATGGAAATACTGAACATACAAGAACCAAGTATGGGAAATCCCACTGGTGCTATGTTTTGTATATACTAGTACTCACACAGAACTTAAACAACAGTTATATTTCCTGAAGGCATCACTGCAAACCTTTGTTCAACCATATTCTCAAAGGCTTTCACAGCTGGGATCTGATGGTTGTTGTGGGTTTTCCGGGTTGTTTGGCCATCTTCTTAAGGCTTTTCTTCCTAACATTTTGCCAGTCTATGGGGCTTGCATCTTCAGAGGACAGGAATCAGAACTCTGTCTGTACTCTGGTGCCGTTTGCTTGGATGGTTGAGTATTTATAGCTGTGGGATCAGCTTTTCTCCTTTTAAGGATATTGGGTGATTATGGTGATCAGCGTGTTTTTTGTTGTGGGTGTATTGTTGTGATAAGGGGGAAGAGATTATCTGTCACTGTGCTTAATGGGTATAATTAGCTAGTCTTTTGTGTGCAGTGATCACCAGTCCTTGTGGCTGGGTAGAGTTCGTTGACCTATTGCAGGCTGTATTTTTCAGTGCTGGGAGTCAGGCTTTGTTGAGTTTTAAACTTTCTTCTTTTTGTTGAAGCTCTGCTGGTATTTGTAGATTTCAATGGCTTCCCTGTGCAATCTAACATAAGCAAGATCAGCACCCTAAAACTCAACCCCGGGAACAGACTGATCAGCTTTGAAGTAGTGTCCCTATTCATCAAGGTACCGATAAAGGACACAATGACACTCATCCAGCAGATCTCTCCAGAAGACATCAAGGCCCTTTTCCAACACTGCCTAATGACCAGCTATTTTCAATGGGATAATGAGTTCTATGAACAGACAGATGGAGTGGCCATGGGGAGCCCCCTCAGCCCAGTTATAGCAAACTTCTACATGGAACACTTCAAAAAACAGGCCCTGGCTTCGGCACCCTTCATACCTACAGTCTGGTTCTGATACGTGAATGATACCTTCGCAATTTAGAACTATGGTGAAGAAAAACTGTAAGAATTTCTAAACCATTTCAACAGCATGCACCCAAACATACAATTCACCATGAAAAAAAATAGACAGCCAACTCCCTTTCTTATATGTTATGGTCATACGCAAAACTGACCTCCTATTGGGACACAAGGTCTACAGAAAACCCACCCATAAAGAACATGAGAGACACTGCAGACTAAAACAACCAGAAAAAACAGCAGTAGCCCTAAAACAAGCTGGACATGAAATTATATTTCAAAACACAGAAGTACTGGACAACACCAGCAATCATTATGTTATATTTAACAGGCAAGCCATTGAAATCCACAAATGCCAGCAGAGCTTCTACAAAAAAAGAAGAAAGTTTAAAACTCAACAAAGCCTGGCTCCCAGCACTGAAAAATACCCCCTCCAAAATGTCAACGAACTCTACCCAGCCACAATGACAGGTGATCAAAACAATGCACCTACAACAAAAAACACACTGATCACCATAATCACCCAATCTTCTGAAAAGGTCAAAAGCTGATCCCAGAGCTATAAATACTCAACCATCCAAGCAAAGTGAAGATGCTGGCCACAGAGACTGGCAAAACGAAGAAAAGCCTTAAGAAGATGGCCAAACAACCCAGAAAACCCACAACAACCATCTTTGTTCAACCATCACTGTCTTTTTAAAATTTCCATTCTTATGAAGTGAAAGCCAAATAAACTGTGTGTTCTAGAGATTTGCTTTCAATTTTCATATCCCAAAATCCAAAGTGATAGAATTGTCAACCAAGATTATTGCTTTAGCTATGACATTTTCACCAAAAGTCTTGTATGAAGCACAAAGAAGTGAGACTATTGTATGATGTAAGCATAAATATCAGACTGCATCACAGTATTACTAATGGACCACACATTGCAATATGTTAGAAGTCAAAGGCTGCCAAAATTGTGATCTGGAAATGATTAGCAAAAGAATGTTACACAGTTGTTTCTAATTTTAATCCTTCATGCATATTTAAAACCGGGTGTGTAAAAACAGTTTATTTACAATTAATTTACATCCATTTTGTAGTGTATTTTTTTTAAAATGGATAACCCATCAATTAATAAAGTGCGAGTGAAGTCATGATCACAAAAGTGTCTGGATTTCAATATAATGTATTACATTATGTATTAAAATGTTTCCTTCTGTTTTCTAACTATGGCATAATGAATGTCTCAAGACACATTATTTCATATTTCAAATTTTGCATGCTGAAGCACATTTTTCTGAATGTTTTTAAGACTTATCAAAGTATTCATTTCATTTGGGAAAGGTTTTTACTTGGTAGCTAAAGTTACATTGTTTTGCTAGCAGACTGTGGAAAACTGAATACCTGTTGCACAAAAATAACCCTCAAGGCACCACACATAGCAAAACAAAAAACAAAAAAAAAAAAAAACCTTACCAATTTTTCATCAATTGTGATGAGTTGCGTGTCTTGGTCTTGGTCTTGTGCCAGCTGCCATGTGGAAGTGTTCAGTGACCTGCAGGATAAGATCTGAAGTTAAAAAATGATTCATGCAATGAGAAAATAGAGACAGACAAATCTTACATAAACAAGTTACTTTAACAATATCCATGCTGTAAAAAAAAAGGGGAGAGATGAGGGCACAAAAAATCCTCCCCTCCCCATTAGTTCTGTCTGCTGAGTTTTTGGCAGACTCCCACTTAGCAGTTCACAACAGGCTGCACTTTATGTCAGTCTACCGTCTCTCTGTCACACAGAGACTGCCAGTGGCAAGGACTGTACTACTTTATAAAAGTACAGTAGCCAGTCTGTCACGAACAGACAAGAAAGAGAAAAATACAAAGCTACTGAAAGTCCTCTGGAACTCTGAACCCCAATGGTAGCATCAGTGTTTTGGCTTTTTAAAAATTTCCTTTAACAATTCCAATTGAAATGCTAGTTTGGCAAGAAGATCTAGTTGAGACACTGATTCTAAATTGACGCCTAGTTCAAAATTCATGGTTCCACATGTCCCTCTATAAATGACCAAGGCAATCACTTCTAGGAATTTCCCCACAGCTTCTGCTTGACAGTAAATCAGCCCAAATATCTGCATGGGCAAAAAGCCTGTTTTTATAACTTGTAAAGATGTTTTTTCTACCCGTGTATCCCTTGCATAGTCAAAAATAGAAGAAGTGTAATACAATCGATTTATGTCACATGTGAATTCTTGCTACCGGTATTCCACAAGTGAAACACTTGTGGAATACCAGTAGCAGTTATTTCCCTTTTCCTCAGTTTCTTGGAACCAAATACACTATCTTCAATTGCACTTATCAGTTTCTATTTAAGTAATGGGAGGCAAAGTTTTCAAAAATCAAGGTTAGCAAAGAGGAAAAGAAAGATTTCAAACACACAATTTTAAACATGGAGTAGATATCTTTATTGCCAATGTTTATATGCTGTCCTATGACAAGTATTCAGCGAAGTTTATTATGCTCAGCTGTTTACATCAGAAAGAAAGCAAGAATGAATATTTGTGTGTTTCCTTTGTAATCCACTCATCCTTTGGAAAGCTCAAATCAGCAAGTTTAGTACAAAGAATTTTAAATCCAGACTCTTGTTTTTTGAAGTGTCCTTCAAATACTTACATAATTCAGAAGGTTAGACAGAATTCCAAACACAATTGAAATTTAAGTTTATGAGGTGCAGTAGCTGCCTTCTTGGCAAAAATTCCAGTACTATGCATCATACTTTCTGAAAGTCAACTATATAGTAGGAATGTAATCTGAACAGTTACTTTAAAAGACTGTATGTCCTTCTTCCCCTGCAAATGCAATCTTCAAACAGCAAGCCAAACCTAGAAAACTCCTGTGTTAATTCGCTGAGTGTATACTTTAAACTGTGATGATTAAATATGTGTATTTAACAATAAAGTTGCCCAAATATATAAATTCTAATGACTACTTGAGGTCTTGATATCCTGTATGGACAATATATCTTTTTTTAAAGAAGTGTAAGAATGTTTCAAAATAGAGACTATCCACTTGTGTTTGAAAGATTAGCTGATAAAGTATTTTAATACAGTGGTGCCTCGCTTTACGATTGCCCCGTTTAACGACGAAACTGCATTACGATGAACTTTTTGCAATCACAAAATGATGTTTCCTATGGGGGAATTTCACTTTGCGATGATCAGTTCCCTGCTTCGGGAACTGATTCTTCACAAAACGACAATTTTCCAACAGCTGATCGGCAGTTTCAAAATGGCCACCGGGTAAACAAAATGCCCCCCCGCTGTTTTCTGGCACGAAAATGGCCGCCCTATGGAGGATCTTCGCTGGACGGTAAGTTTACAGCCCTTTGGAACACATTAAACGGGTTTTAATGCCTTTCAGTGGGTTTTTTCTTTTCACATTACGTTTTCGTTCTACAGCGATTTCGCTGGAACGAATTAACGTCGTAATGTGAGGCACCACTGTACCACTAACAATGTTCTATTAATTGGAACCCAAAGGTTACAGCCCTTATACTTTCCATTGATTGCTTCAACGACATATGGAAACAAGTTTGAATGTATTGCCGAGTGTAACGCAAATAAAGGAAAACCAGACCATCAGACAGGCACTTTCTCTTGTTACAAGTTAGGAGTGTGAAGAAGAACAAGAGCCAGTCAAGCAATGCTGCTGTATCTCAATGAGATGAAGCCAAAATCCAACAGAAATAAAGGTTTTATATTTCATGTCTTCATATTATATGTATAGTGCCATTAATAAACATAACAGATGCAGATGGAAAAGAAAATATATCTTGCAGTTCATTTAGCTGCTTTGGTTATGTAGCTGGGCAAAGTAGACAATAGTATAGGCTCAACTTGTTGCCTGGAAGGAACTATACCTTGTCCCTGGATGGAAAATTTTGCCTAATTGGGAGGAGCAGGAAGTTTGGCTCTATGTAATACAGTAAAAGTCTGAGCTGCAACACAAATGGAAAAAGTGTGCATCGCACTCAACAACTGTTCATACCTTAGGAAGGTCTAAGTAACTCTATGGTGCCTCTTTCATACTGAAATGATTATTTGTTATGTGCCGAATGCAGCAAAAAAGGGAACATGATGGAAGCAGCAAAAGGTTATGGTTGTACACTTTATGTGCTCCTTGCTTCATATACTATGTCAGTAAGCAAATCAAGAATAACATTAGTTGGCCTTGGAAACACAGCACAAGTGCTTCTGGACTATAGACAAGGCACTAATCATATGCCTAACCACTATCCTAACAACTTTGGTTCAGTGCTATGTAACTGCATTCTACAAGTTTGACCCATCACTTCTGGTTGAAATATGATTTCAGATATTGAGTTGCCTGTTTTCTAAGTCATGTTGGTTTGGAGTGCTTGTTCTTGTGCAGCAAAAATCAAGCCTTCAGTTTCTTTCTTAAGGGTCCCCAGTTTTAGCCATGCCCATTTTGAATTATGCTCGTGCTTTCCATCAATATTTCTCAGGTGTTCTCCATTTAGTGGTTTATTTTTCCACCTGTTTAATTTGTTTTCAAACTGTTTTTTCTTATGTTGAGCCTTTGTTTCTGTTTTCAAAATATTCTCTATTTTCACCACCTTAAATAGCTTTTCTCTACTTGCACTGATAAAATCATTTGGGCTTCTTTTTTCCTCCTCTACTACCTGCTGTATTTGCAGTAATCCATGGCCTCCAATTTTTTGTGGTAAATATAATCTATCCACATCACTTTTTGCATGTAGTGCATCATACATGTTCATTAGTTTCTGTGTTCTTTGATCCAATTCTTATAATTCATCTTGAGCCCAATGTATTATTCCAGCTGGGTATCTATTTACTGGAACGGACCATGTGTTTATGGCTTTGATTGTATTTCTCCCATTTAATTTTGATTTTTAAATTTTCTGCAGTATTTTGATGTATTCCCTTTCTGTCAATTCTTTAACTTTTTGTGCACAATGTTGTCTGCTTCTAGTATTCCAAGGTATTTATAATTTTCATCACTTCATAGCAATTTTATAATATTCTCATTTTTAAACTCAATTATATCTAGTTTTTGGATCTTGCCAAGGTGTATAGACAGAGCTGCACATTTGTCAATTTCAAATTTCATTTTGATATCCTCACTAAATATTTGCACTGTGTTTAGCAGTTATTCTATCTCCATGGAACTTTTTGCATATAGTTTTAGGTCATCCATGCATAAGAGATTATTGATTTTTCCTGCTTGTTCTGAAATATAGTAGCCCAATCCAGTTTTATAGTCATGGCCAAAAATATTGGCACCCTTGCATTTCTGTCAAAAATGCAACCTCTCAGAAAATTGTTGCAGTTGCAAATGTTTTGGTACTCACATGTTCATTTCTTTGGTTTGTATTGGAACAACAACAACAACAACAACAACAACAGTAAGAGGTGTGGGCAATATAGTAATCACACTTGCAGCCAGTTCAGATGGAGAAAAGTTGACTCAACCTTTGTGTTGTGTGTGACACTGAGCATGGAGAAAAGAATGAAATGTAAAGAGTTGTCTGTAGATTTGAGAGAAAAAATTGTGAAAAAACATCAACAATCTCAAGGCTACAAGTCCATCTCCAGAGATCTTAATGTTCCTGTGTCCACTGTGCACAATACCATCAAGAGGTTTACAGCCCATAGCACTGTAGCTAACCTCCCTGGATGTGGACAGAAGAGCAAAATTACTGAAAAATTACAACGAAGGGTTGTTCGAATGGTGGATACAGAACCCAGATTAACTTCCCAACAAATTCAAGCTCATCTGCAGACACAGGGTACAACAGTGTCAGCTCGCACTATCCGTCGCCATCTGAATGAAAAGGGATGCTATAGTAGGAGACCCAGGAGGACACCATTGCTGACACAAAGGCATAAAAAAGCAAGACTGGAGTATGCCAAAACTTATATGACAAAACCACAATCCTTCTGGGAGAATATATTGTGGACAGATGAGACAAAAGTAGAGCTTTTTGGTCAAGGACATAATGGCACTGTTTACAGAAAAAGAAATGAGGCATTCAAAGAAAAGAACACAGTCCCTACAGTCAAACATAGTGGAGGTTTAAAGATGTTTGGGGGTTGCTTTGCTGCTTCTGGCACTGGATGTCATGACTGTTTAAATGGTATCATGAAATATGATGATTACCAAAGAATTTTGGGGGGCAACGTAGTGGCTAGTGTCAGAAAGCTGTTTCTCCACCAGAGGTCATGGGTTTTCCAGCAGGATAATGACCCCAAAGACACTTCAAAAAGCACTCAGAAATAGTTACAAACAAAGCGCTGGAGAGATCTGTCTCCACGGCCTGGTCCTGCCATGGCCACGAACCGGGACTGGGTTTTGAGGACTCCTGCCATAGATCACCTGTGGGGAGATCTCAAAACAGCAGTTGGGAGAAGACATTGTTCAAAATCAAACTTTTGCATTTTGCAAAAGAAGAGTGGTCCAGAATTCCAGTAGAGAGGTGTAAGAAACTCATTCATGGTTACAGGAAGCGATGGAATTC